AACAATTGGAGAATTCTCTCCCTGAGAAGGAAAAACTGGGTTCATCATCAGGGCTGTGTCCAATAATCCAAAAAAATAAGTTATGGCCTGTAACAGAGCCTCAAAGGCCCTAGAGGCCTCCAAACCTAGTACCCCCACCACAGTCCTCTGGGTTAAGTAGAAGCTCCTGCTGTTAAGGCATCACATCTAGGAGTGGCTCTCAGTACCTTCCTGGATGACTCCCAGGAAGCCTCTATAGTCCATTAGAACCAAAAATGCAAAAATATGGGCAGAAGTATTCCTCACCCCTAGCCTCCATTGCTCTCTGGTGCAGGGTTTCCCCTCTTGCTACCACTTGTGTCCTTTTGGGCTCTCCACCCTGCACTCCCAGCCTATTAACCCTGGTTCCTGGTCCCTAGCTGTAGCTCATCCATTCTGTATTGAGGGGAGACACCTAGGCTGAGTTAACACCAAGTGATTCCTTCCCTGAGGTTATAGCCTCAGCTGTTCCAGCCCCATCTTAGTGTTACCAAATAGGGTTTCCTCTTCCAGGGGTTCTGTTTCCTGTTGGAAACCTTAAGGGGGCAGACCGTCTCTGTGTTCTCCTGGGGCTCCCTCCAACACAGGCTTTCCTTGCTGAGATACTTCTCCCCTCCACTTAAGAGTGCTCTGCAGGTAAGGGTTATTTCCACGCTTCCAGACCTCTCTACGGGCTTGTTACGTTTGCTGCCTCTGAGCAGGTTCTGTACTTGTCCTGTTTCAACCACTCCTGTGTCCTGCCCCTTTACTGTTGGGGCCGCTTGACTTCCAAATACTAAAGGGAAGGAAGCGAGCATAGATTTTCCTCTTCCCACTCCCCCTAGATATATATGTATACACACACGCACACACATATATATACACTCACAAATATATATCTTGATATGTCTGGTTTCATACCTGGAGCCAAGGGCCCTGTTAGGCTGGGTTGAGGGGCCCACTTCTCCCCTTCTTTCCCCTCCTGTTCCCTTCCATCCTCTCCCCTCCCTCCCCTCCTTGCCCTTCCTGGTGGGGCTCCCCACCACCAACCAAAGTCTGCCTCCCACAACATGCAGGGAGGTAGGATGCAGTTCAAGACTTTATTGACTGCTCTGCAGACTCCTTTCTGGGCATCCAGGGGCCCATCACATGCAGAGAAATTTATTGATGGCAGCAGTGATCTTCACCGCTGCCAAGGGAGTCATTCACATGTAGTGTTGGCAAAGGTACCCCTCCAGGAAGCAGCACACATTGTGGGGAAGTGTGGGCTTGCCTGGGTCACCATCAAATCTCAGGGCCCTGCGCCAGGTTCTCACGTGTGGTTAGGACACCATGGCAATCATCATCTGCAGGGTATAGCGTGTAGGGAACCCCTTGGTGCACTCTCACAGCTTGTTGCAGTTTGTCTGGGTGACTCTGACCAGGGGCACGCTTGAGGCACAGGCCACAAATGGCAGGGTCACCTCTCCAAAGAGGTCCACAGGGTCAGGGGGCATCATCAGCTATGTATTCCAGCTGGGCAGGAGTCCCTCACCTCCAGGTCCTGGGCACTGCAGACCTGGTGGCATTGGAGCAAACTGTCTAGCTTGTAGGGAAGAAAAGGTGGGGGAGTTGATCTTTAGCTGTTGCAGCAGCTGTCACCAAAAGGGAGCCCTGGCTTGGCCTGGGTAAGGGACGGGGAAAGCAGACTGCCTACAACAAACAGCAAGCAGCCCACCTGCCCCTGCTGTGGAAGTGGGGAGGAGGGCTAACCCTGCCAAGCTATCCGGTATAGCGATGCATGAGCTATGGCAGAGGCTGGCAGATGGGGTCCCTGAAGAGGAGAGGCAGAATGGTCACATCAGCCAGCTGCAGGTCCGGGACACCTGGTAGAAAGTGACCACCCTCCACTAGCGTTGGCAGGGAGTTCCATAAATATTTAACTGCTACATGTATTTAAATGGGTGTCCAGGAAGACTGGTTGTTCTGCAAGGGAGCAATCCCATGGGTGCAGAAGGAGACAATCCCATTGCACATAAAAGTGGGCAAAGGGGCCAAGAAGCCCTCTTGGCTGAACAGGGAAGTCAGGAAAGCCTAAGGGCAAAGAAAGAGGTATACAGGATGGAAACAGGGGGTAGCTACCAAGGAGGATTAAACCTCCCTGTCTTGCACTTGCAGGGAATCAGGAAGGCCAAAGCAGGATTAGAATTTAGGCTGGAGACAAAAATTAAGGACAACAAAACGTCCTTCTTCAGGTATATAGGGAGCAAAAGGAAGGTGCAGGGTAGCACAGGACCCTGACAAGACAAACTAGGGCAACTGGTGACAGATAGTGGGGACAAAGCTAAGCTCTTCAATGAGTTCTTTGTATCTGTATTCCTAGACACAGAGCAAAAAAAAAATCTCCCAGTTGGATCATAGATAGACACAAGAGGGGCACCAGCTCACCAACTGTTAGCACAGACTTAGTGAAGGGGTACTTGGAGGGGCAGGATGTGTTTAAATCAGTGGGCCCAGATGAACTTGATCCAAGGGTGCTGAAGGAATTGGGTCAGTGTCATAGCAGAGCCACTGGCACGGCTGTTCAAGCACTCATGGTGCTCAGGTCAGGTCCCAGAGGACTGGAAAAGGGCCAATATGGTCCCTATTTTCAAGAAAGGGAGGAAGGAGGAACCGGGAAACTATAGGTCAGTTAGTCCCACCTCTATCCTTGGGAAAATTCTGGAAAAAATCATTAAGGATCTCATTTGTGGGAGCCCAGCAGGGGAAATAATGCTGAAATGAAATCAGCGTTGATTCATTGCAGGTAGATCCTGTTTGACTAAACTTGTTTCTTTTTATGACCAGGTCATAAAATGCTTAGACACAGGAGTCATCTACCTAGACTTTAAGAAGGCCTTTGATACAGTATCTCATTCTGTTCTCGTAAATAAACTGACAGGCTGCAGTGTAGATGATTACATGGTCAGGTGGGTAGCAAATTGGCTTAGGGGTCGCACCCAGAGAGTGGTGGTTGAAGGATTGATATCGACCTGGAAAGATGTGGGCAGTGGAGCCCCATAAAGCTCGGTCTGCCAAGAGTACACTTATTAAAAAAGGTTGAAACTCCCTGCACTAAGCTATTAGCTGAGAAGGTGGGAGTTCTGACAATTATGGGAAGGGCCAATTCTGATTCCCCACAGGGAGAAACAGAATTGTAAACTTTGCATAAATGCTATACACACACACTACTTAGATGTGTGAAGGGTAAACAGGATGTGACCCAGCATGAACAAGAACGGCAAATTGTAATTATCATCCAAAGTTTGCTTAATGATCCTCAGTGAAACCCTGCCTCCATTGAACTATAACATTACGAGTAATTTTTTTTCACATGTGAGGGATCTTGAAATTGTGTTGGACACAAACATTCCCCCTGTGCTTTAAAGTACATCAGTAGAGGCAAGATTCTACACCTTCTGGATTTTCTAGCTCATATGGAAACTAGGGTAAAATTTTAAATAAAACCTCCAAAGTGGATAGTAGTTCATTCATATTGCGCCAAATCCTGAAGCCCTACCTGCTGTGTGTCAAGGTGCCATGTTAACTGCACAACTCAAAGATGCTGAGGATTTCATTGGGGATTACAAAATTTGAAACTAAATCTTTCCTCAGATATTGCTCAGGCCAAACTCTCTGAAATCCTGTGAAAGGTTATTTGAAAAAAGACCTCAGGATTGGAGTCAAGAGAACCTGTTGAAAGAGAATAAAATAAGACATGTTTTAAGCACTAAATGAGATGTAGACATGTTTAATATTTAAAAAGTAAAATCAAGTGAGTTTAAACATTTAACAAGAGACATCAATATTTTCTTATTGTGCCCATCTCTGCTCGACTAGGCGCTCTCGAGCTGCCTTCGCTGGGGTGGATGTTCTAGCTTGCCCCGAGCCCACGAGAGGGCCCCGGAAGGTGCCTCAGGTGGTGTTGGGAGGCCCCCTAACCTCGCCTGCCACAACTTCGGATGGAACCTCAGTGGTGGGGGTCTCCATTGATGCAGCCTCCAGGGTCGTCACGCCTTCGGCGGGCACTCACAGGGCTCCAACCTCCCCTACACCCCGGCCAATCACCGCCTGCTCCCCCGGTGGCTTCCCTTGGGCGCCCCCGCCGTGTTTTTGGTCCCGTGCCTCCCGGTGGTCCCCACTCTGGAGAACCAAGCTTCCCAGGCTGGAATCCACCTTGAGGGTCTCACTCCCCCCGATTCCCTGCTGCCCCTAGCCTATACTGACCCGAGGCCACCGCAACACAAAATGAGAGATCCTAAAGGAAAGCGAACAACAAAACAGAAAGTCAAGCCCTTCTATCATGCCTAGCCCAGGATCTGACCCGGGTGCCTAAGCCCCAGTCGACTGGCTGCCCTGGCTCAAAGTCCGTCAGGTGGTTTAAGGCCACCAAATCCCCCAGGAGTCTACTCTCCAGAACCGTGGCTCCCGCTCTCTGGGAGCCTCGTATCTGGCGTTCACTCCTTCACCAGTCCCGCTGCCGGTTCCTCTGCAGGCCCGTCTGTCAGCTCTCTCGCCGGGTCCACTACCGGTTTCCTCACCAGCTACGCTGCCCGCTCCCTTACTGGATCCGTAGCCAGTTCCTTCTTTCGTCTTGCTGCTGACGTCGTCTCCACCTTCTCCATCGGCTCCTTTAAGAACGCAGCTCTGGCTGCTGTAGCCACAGCTTTCTTCGCCGGCTCCTTTAACAGCGTGGCTCTCGCTGCTGCAGCTGCCTTTGCCGTTCTCACCACCGCTGCCGACACTACTGCTGCTGCTACTACTGCTGCTGCTGCCATAACTTCCCCCGTCGGGCTGGGCAGACGGGCCCCGCAGGCACAGGTCCCACTCTGGAGGTTCCCTGCGGGCTTTCCCCACCTCCCAGGCTGCTCTGCTCCTGGGGCCGCCTTTTATTGCTGCCGGGTGGCGTCTCTTGCTGACGTCACCCGGCCCCAGCTGGATATAAGCGCGGTTTACAAATCGCGCTGGTGGTTTTCCCGTGCGCGTGTCCCTGCTCCCTCTGGCTTCTGCGTGGGGGTAAGTAAGTGTTTACTTCCCCCCTGGTTTTGCCCCGGGGTTTCCTTCTAACTCCGGCATCCCTGGGACACTTATCAAAATTTGCTAGATGACTATATATGTTGTAGGTTGTGTAGGATTAAATATTTGAAAACACTAAATAGCTGCAAATACAGCTGAGCATGCTTCAGTAGATGTTAATATTCATCTGTACACATGCAAAATGATTTTTTTTATATGGAAATTACATTGCAAGTATCCCAAATTGGAAGTTACTGCTGAATTGTCAAGCATTTTCTCTCCTGGGCCAGATAGGAAATGCTGCTACACCCTGTCCAAGCATTTTTTAAATTATTTCCCAAATACCATAAAATCCTTTAATTTGAGTTGACTAAACCTAATCAAACTTATTAATTGCTTCTCAACTATTTTATTATTTGTTGAAAATAAATTTTAACAACACATGACTTAACCACAGATAGAAAAAAGTAAATACATATATCAGTTCAGAAGAAACTCTTGGCTGCCATCATGAGGAAGGATGTAAGATGGGCACATTTCAAATAGCTGGTCAATGGATTCAGATCCAAAATTCAAATGAGCTCGTAGATGCTTCTCTTCATTCATTCTGAAGTACCTGCTAGTGTTAGAACAATACAATGAGAAGCTTATTAATTATATTACATTTTTAAACCTAATACAGAAGTACCGTATGAACTCCTCACAAAAAAGAATGTTAATGTCAACACAGCTACAGGAATTAAAAAAAAAAAAAAAAAAAAGCTCAGTGGTTCACTGGTTGATTTCAACCAATACTGGAAAGTAAATAGAAACATGCCCCATGAAATATAACTTTACTCCCTGAACTAAAGTGGTTATATTAAAAACAAAACATTTCACTTGCAGTAGAATTTAGTACAGGGACAAATATTTGTAAATTACTTTCATATACTTTACTGCACCTTATCAGTCATTAGGAGACTGTTAACCTTGAAATATGATGAATATGATGAAATTTTTATAGATGAAGCTCCCAACCCATTTCCTACCAGAGTTCTCTATCAGGTGCTTTCAGCTGAATTTCCTTTATCTGGAGACAGGAATTATTTATGTGTATTTCCACAGTACTATAAAGAAGGTATAATTTCTCACACTGTAATACATGAGTGCTGTCATATTTACTCAGTGACACGGGAGTGATCCTATCATGTGAAGATGATCAGTAATTCTTCCCTCCAGTGGAAGAGAGAAAAGCAGAATGAGCTGAGCTACAGCATGTCTCTCCATCATCAGTAGATATGTGATGACATGTTAAGCTAGAGATTTGGGCCTTCCCAGCAAAGCGCATCTTTCCCCTATAGGCATGCCATCTGCCATTCAGACTATGCAAAATAATATTTCACTAGTCCTGAATTTTAGTGATAGATGAGAACATGAAAAGAAAAGCCCTAGACTAGATATTATACAAGACATGGTGAGAAGCTAAAGCCATGCAGCTGAAGAGCTTTTCTGGGGCTGGGAAAATATCATCTCTGGGAATTAGTAAGTATCACTGAGGAGCAGAAACAGTGCGAAATCAGCATCAGTGCTAGCAGTGATGACTTGTAGTTTGGTCCTGAAAAAAGTTGGGAGAATTTTTTTTTCAGAAGCATAATGGCTTGGAAAGGAAAGCTTCAACTTACAAACAGAGCCTTTGTATCCATCATTAAGTATGTCAAAAAGTATCTGTATCTATCATTAAGTTCTAATTCAAATGCAACAAACCCAGAAAGACCTACATATTCATTAAATGTTCATTTTTGTTTGTTTGTTTAGCAAATACAAATCCTGGAAGCCAAGCAAATGTTTAAGATGAAAAGGGTTAAAACACTGCTCTCTCCTGAGACTAAAAGGAATACTGTGAGGGAAGATTAAAGAAACAGTAGTGGTGCTCTGTAGGCAGTCCTATCAATTTTTGATTGCCTGGCAAGAAGAGCCAGGCTGGTAGCCACTTTACAGTCCTAGGTAACTACAAGGCAAACTTTAGGAGTCCTGTACATGGTATTTTGACAAAAGGTTTGGAGTAAACTAAATACTAGGACTGTGTGCAGCTTCGGTCCCTGATTCAATTCAGCGGAGATCTGGCCTAATTCAGTGGCTGAATCTCCGAATCTGAATCAAATCAGAGGACCCTTTAATCTCTCCAAATTGAATCCAAACCCTCTGAATTGATTTGGAAAGATTCAGAGATTCAGACATAGAGACAGCTTTAAATGGTTTTTATACATACCTCTAGGTAGCAGGGGCTTCTGAGTGCTGTGATTCTGGGGCGCAAAGAGTGTCCCACAGAAGCACAGGGGGCTCTCCAGCACACTCAGCAGCAGACCAGGAAGTGGACCATAAGCACTTCCGGGTCCACAGAGGAGTCCCCTGGCTCAGTGACTGGTGCCTCCTAGGTCTCAGAGTGGGGGCGGGGCACCTGGTGTCCCCTGTGGCCAATTGCCAAGCCAGAGGGGAGCCGGGTGCCCCCTGTGTACTCCCCAGCAGACCTGGAGGTGGACTGGAAGTACTTCTGATCCACTTCCAGGTTCACCACTGAGCACATGGAGGGACCCCTGCACTCCTGTGGGACGCTTCATGAACCCCAACATCACAGCAATCATGAGCCGTGCTGGTACCTCAAGGTATGTAGAAAAAACTTCTAAAGCTGTATCTATGTCCGAATCGCAGATTCAGCAAAATTGAATCAGGTTCAGTGATCTGAATCAACAAATCAAATCACTGTTTCTGATTTGGGCCAAATCTGAATCTGAATTGAATAGGGCCCACTTTGCACATCCTTACTAAATACCAGTGTACTCAAATGTAAATTCCGGAATTTAGGTTATATGATAGAATCATAATATAAAGGTCTTCACTTATAATTTAAATATAAAAAAGCAAATAGTAAACAACCAAAATTGTTTCTAAAATAAATGCGTGCATTGTAGCCTCAGTTTTACTTATCAGAATTATTGAATTATGTAACCCTATGGAGCTTGTGTGGTCTGACATGGGAAGTGCTCTTCCATTCAGGAAAAATACAAATCAACTGCAGATGCTTCCTCAGCCTGACAAAGGGCTTTTAAACCCGAAAACTTGCTAAGAAAAAAATTTCCAACTATTCAAGTTGGTCTAATAAAATATATCAGATTCACCCAAATAACCTTGTCTTGATATTTTAATGCATTTCATACCTTACACACACACAGACACACACATGCAGACACAGACATGCACACGCAGCTATAGAAACACACACAGACATGAAAACACTGACACACACACATGCGGATCCAGACGCATACACCTCTACCCCTGCCCCAGCAGGTAAGTGTGGGTTAGGGAGGGGGCTTGGGGGGGTGCAGATCAAGAATGGTTGGGGGGGAGTGGGTCTCTGTGCCTGCTCACAGAAGCCAAGCGGGCAAGGGCAGCAGTACCCTCTGCAGGCTACACACATGCAGCCTGTCTGGCCAGCTGGGGAGGGGGCTTATATGTGGTGGCCACCACCACCACCAGCCCGCAAAACCACCACCATGCCCTGCACCACTTTCCACTTCCTGTGCCGCTTTCCTCTGTCAGCAGCCAGCAGAGCCATACATGTGACTGGCCATGGGAAAGCAGCATGCGGCATGGCGGT